TAGGTTATTGTGGCTGTCTCGCATGATTCTGTTACAGAAGTTATCTTTCGTTTGTGACTTGGTTTAATGAGGAAATAGTATGATCAAATTGTTTGTTTGTTTTATTGTTTGAATTGCCCGTCGTGTGTTCACTTGCTTTTCTTCAACCTTCTATATATATGTTTTTGTGGTGGGATTGGGATTGTTTGGTACCATGGATCGTTTGACGTAATTTATCATATCATTCTATAGCATGGATCCAGTGGGTGTCTCTTCAGATTGTTAAAACAAATTAAGCATTCTTTTGTAAAGTATGATGAATAGAAGGTGAATGCCTTTATGATAGAGATTTACTTCTCAACACCGAACTACATATATATATGGAACGACGTGAATTGAACATAAAATCTCTCGTATTCACGAATAACTTTTTTCATTCTTCATTCAATATTCAGTGAATGAAATGAAGTTCGGCTGTGTGGATATCTTTTGTTCTTTTTTCATTAATTTGTATTTTTATTGATTTTTGCATCTGCTGCAGGATGCAGATTATAAGGAACTAAAAATCAATTGGAGGCGAGTTGCTTCCACAACCTTGTTTGGTCTCGGATTTATTGGTCCTGTTGGCCATTTCTGGTAAGTTCTCTTTTATCAAGTTATTTGAAGAGGAACATTTCCATTTTCTGCTTGTTTTAAGAAAGAAAGTAAGAATAGTTTATATAAATCATTTCCCTTCCCATAGAACTCTCACTTAATTGCACTATGTTACAAATGCTGAATAAATACTCAGTTTAAGCATTTGGTTATTGACAGAGATTTGTCGATCGTGTTAATAAATGAAGCTTCCAAATGTTGATGTATTGAGTTCGTAAAGAACCTAATTCTAGTTTGTAACTAAAAGCTAGTTTTATAGTGATTTTCTGAAAGGAAAACAAATGGGTTTTGAGTGGCATCAATGATACTCTTTTGTGATTAGACATACTTTTTATTTATTTCCTTTTTTACTGTAGATGCTTAATTGGTCCTTTGATCAATGAAGGTATGAAGGCCTGGACCGGATAATTAGGGTTCGACTAAAGCTAAGGCCCAATTCCTTCCGTTTTGTGGCAACAAAAGTCGCTGCTGATGGCATAATCTTTGGGCCCGTCGACTTGCTCGTGTTCTTCACTTACATGGGCTTTGCCTCTGGGAAAACTTCGGCTCAAGTGAAAGAAGATGTGAAGAGAGACTTTCTCCCAGCCTTGATCTTGGAAGGAGGTGTATGGCCTGCCGTACAAGTGGCCAATTTTCGATTCGTTCCAGTTCGATATCAGCTTCTTTATGTTAACTTCTTCTGCTTATTGGATAGCTGTTTTTTGTCGTGGATTGAGCAGCAAGAGGATGCTCCTTGGAAAAAGTGGTTCAAGTCTTTTCTGCATATGAAAGAAGGGGAACGCCAGTGATTGCTTGAATTTTGTATTTAGTTATTTACCTTGTTGTGGTCTTATTTTTTTCGGCTATGAGAATACGGTTTGCTTGTCGAGCTGTATATTTGAGTCGGGGATTGGGGCGAATGAGCTTTTGCTGTGCATGTGTGAGGATTATCATTATTTTCTCCCTTTTTACCTCTTTTTGAGAAGAATTGCATGAAGAAGATGAGGTTGAGCTCTGTAAGGCAAAACATTCTCTTGTAGTTTCAAGATTTCAGCAAGGATATTAGAATAATTTGAAATTTTAACCATACAAGGAATATTTGTATGTTTCAAGCAAAATAACTGAGATGTTTTAAATAAAAAAAAGCACTAATTTCTTTCTGTCTCAGTTAACAAACTGAACATTGGTGTTTGATAATCGAGTCAAGTTCGAACAGTAATTTAGACCTCGAAGTGAGAATTACAACCTATTTCTAGGACAATCTTTATCGAACAAATGCAACCAGACGAAATCCGAGCGATTGGCAGTTCAATGTAGCGTAATAACACAAAATCACCAGCAGCAAAGATACAGTTCAAAAATGGAAGATCTTGAAAAGGAAATAATAAATTGGGTACCCCGATGGCTGAGAAGGAGATGGGTTCCGATGGGATTGAGCCGGAGGTGCCATGGCCTTTCTTCTGGTTTTCTTCAAATCTGCAAATCGATTCAACAGTGTTCTGTGAGAAAAGCTTCAATTGTTAGTGTTGGTTCTTTTATTCTCCTTCTACATTTTCAGAGTATACAGTGACACACACATAATGGTACGAATATATGAACTACGCATAAAGTCTACGGTTTATTTTGTTCTCAATTTCTAGTGTCAACAATAGTTTCCAAACCATTTCGTCGAGAAATATTACGAAACTATTTAGAGAACCAATTCCATAACGAGATCGTAGAATCTCCCTCTTTTATTATATGGTTTTGGTAAACAATAATTAATATATATTATTATCATAATAATTTAAATTTTTATATTGCCAAAATGAAATATGGGTTATTTAATAAGTCTAAAATGTAGATTAAAATTTAAAATTCCAAACTTTTTCCATTCATTTGCAAATGAATCATGATTTTTCAATTTTATCTATAAGCCTCTGACTTTAATGAATATTAACATGGAGAGGTGAAAAAAAAAAATATCAAAATAAAAAAATACATATCACTTTGTAATAAAGTTGGGGTTCTTAAAACTTCAATTTCTGATTTCTGAAATTAAAATGGAGAATTTTGAATTCCAACTCACTTGTTTACCTCAATAAAAAAAAAAAAAAAATTTGAATGTGACCATATTCAAAATATTCAAATGCTATAAATAGAAAATATTTTGGAATGAACAGAATAAATGGGGGCATTGTTTTACTCCAAGCCCAATAAAACTGCTATAGCTCTAAAGCCCACTAAAATACTCAATTGTTTTGTTCCTTGAACCTCTCATCTTGCCATTGGCACATATCTAAGCTCAAAGGCCCATTTCCAATAATTGATGTCCACGGCCCAAAATACAGTTCAATTTTATCAAGAAAAAACAAAAAAACAAAAACAAAAACAAAAAAAACAAAACATTGAGGCCAGATTAAGATAGCAAATAATGGCGTATTAATTAATAAGTTAATTTACTTTTGTAATCAATAGCAATTTTAAAAAAGGTCGAGTCGATCTCGACTTAGTCAACGAAATGGGTTTTATATCTCGATTTAGTGAACGAAACGGGTTTTATATGAACCGAACTCAAGAGCAGCTCGTTTCGTTTATAACAGCTTTAAAATTAATATTGAACCTAAAGAGAAATTCTTGGTCTTACTTAACCAACAAGCTTCATCAATCTTGTAATTTTTTTGCACACCCCATCAGCCTATCATAGTCTTACACGTGTAAACCCCTTGTTGCATGCCACGTATGATTTATAATGCGGGACATTGCAATAAAAATATGTGAGCTGTAAACAAACATAGCCACATATGTATGAGTTATACCTTTCCTTAAAAGGAAAATATTCTTGCAGGGTAGAAATGGAAAAACAAAAATCTAACACAAGATTAGTTCATTTTTTTAACAACTATTTGGACGGCCAAACAATTTCTTCCAAAAGTTTACTTTTAGCCTCTACAATAAGTAGCATTAGGAAATGTATGGCACACGTGAGTTCATTGAATGTTAAAAGTACTAGCAAGAAAAATAAGGAGATTTTCTATTATACTTGGATACCTCGACTTCACTTCGCTTCGTCGATTACATTGACCTCTTTCTGGCATTACCTTTCTCGTTGGTTCGATCTCAATCTCAGGACGTGCATCGGCGGCCCCTTTCCATTGATAGTCCTCCTAAACCGATGGGCTTGACTAATAAGGAGATTTTCTATTATACTTTCATATTACATCTCGTGTTTTTTTCTGTTGATTGACTAACATATGTACGTATAATGATGCTAAATTTATGGGATTCGACACGAAATGTAAATGTACCAATAAGAAATTGCAACAAGAGACACGACTGATATAAAGACCCGATACAATGACAATGTTAATTATAGGGACCGATCGAACGGATATATATAGCTGATTGAATTAACATTTTGTCCGATTGATGAATTAGTTGATTATACAATAGTGCTTGGTGAATGGTGAATAATTAATTGATTGATGTATAAAAGTGACTCTAGTTAAAATTTGATGTACACCCTTAAAATTTCAAATTTAACCAAAAACTCTGATTTTCAAACAAGATCATGATTAAAAATATCAAACTTAACTCAAAATAATTGAAATGCAAACAACTCAACTCGAACTCGAACCCGTCTACATATCATCTTATTAATCGCGCTTGATTTGTTATACGAACGATACCGTATTTTAACGACTCGAATAATAATTTATTTGTTTATTTGTGTGGCAGGTGAATTTCCCATTTATTTGATATTCATTTCCTGTTTTAGAGTACTGTAATTTCTCAAACAACTCAGCATAATTAAATAGAAACAGTGTTAAAACTCTTGAGGGAGAGCTTTGCCGCCCTTGTAGTCCTACCCAGCTCGATTCCGGATTAGTCGGCTCCCCTGTGGATCCGGAAACTGTAAGGTCCTGTACCAAAAAAAAAAAATAGAAACAGAGAATATACTTTCCCACAAACCTGAAGATTCAGAGTGCATTTTAGCTTCCCATTGGATGTTTGCTGTGTGAGGAAAAAGGCACTCTGTTGGACAGTGGAGACATTGACAAGATAGGTATTTCCACTATTGCAAAAAAAATTCAAACAAAGCGAAAAAAAGACCCTAAATTCGGCCATTTTTTGCAAGCTTAGCACTTCTGATGGCTCACAGTTTCACATACAGAGAGTTAGTGTGTTTCTTCTTTTTGTGATACAAACACAAAGATGCTTTTTTTTTTTATTTTTTATTTTTTTTCGAAACGATAGTGTTTCAACGAATATTTCAGTATTATATTTTATTTTGAAAAATTTTCACATCAAGATTAATCATTGAAATTTCTGTTGGGATTTTGAAGATTTCGACTTTCAGTTATCATTTGAAGAAAAATGTTCCACTAAAACTGATTAAGAGCTAGAAATTTTTGTTGGATTTTGAGGATTTCAACAATTGTTTTCAATATTTCAACTATAATTATTCACTTTTATTTCTCAAGACATCTTATACTATAATTTGAAATAATTGTTTAGAAATAACAAATATTTTTTTTTAAAAAAAATCAACGTACGAAAAATTTTAAATTATTATATTAAATGGTTATTCGATAACCCATGATCCTGACTGTTTTCACTAAAATTATGTGAAAAAAAAAAAAAACTTTCTTCTTTCGTTTCATCTAAAGATACTGGAAATTCATGGACCAATGACAACTCAAGCATATTCCCTTTACTCCATTTTCAAACTAAGTCCTATATATAGAGAAACCTAGCTTTAGGCTTTAGAGTGATTATAACAATTAGGTGCAATTTTGGACTTGCTCCTTGTAAGTTGAGTTTGTATGAATTTTCTTCACTTTCATGCACGTGAAAATGTTACGACCCACAACTCAAATCTTAGTTCTCCATCAAGTTCAAAAGGAGTTTCATTTCTAAAATTAATTGGCAATAGAAAGAGTAGTCCATCTAACTTATATATTGGACTTGGAATCTTTAATTTTTAGATGTGGGATTGAATTTGCACACTCTACAAACCTCCTCATATTAGTACTGGAAATCAGATTCAAACGAGCTTTTATCCTTCTGTTCCACACGAGATTTCTGTTCTCGTTGAGCTCATCTTAGGACACTTGCGTTATCTTTTAACATATGTGCCGCCTCAGCCAAACTCCCCACCTGACATTGTCTTCTGCCCGGATCGGCCCTCCGAGGCAAGCCTTGGGTCCAAAAAGAGGGGTGCTGCCCCGTCTCCGATTCACGGAATAAGTAAAATAACGTTAAAAGTAGTGGTATTCCACTTACGCCTTCAAACACAAGACCACATTGGACCTCCCTTGAACGAGGTTCGTACGATCCGACCATCTTGTACTGTCGTCATTACCCACGAAACCCGCCGTCTGACCACCCTTTCGCCAGGAAGACTTTCAACACAAGGTACACGGATCCACTAACCGTCCACCGGCTCACACGGGGAACATGCCATGTCATCCACATTGCAACTGGGCTACCAACCGTGGGTCGGATACCAATTGTTGGGACCGACAACTCAAAATTCAGTTCTCCATCAAGTCCAACATACAAGCTCAAATGGGATTCCATTCTAAAACCAATTGACAATAGAAGGAGTAGACCACCAAACTTATATATTGGACTTATAACCTTTAATTTTTTCCGATGTGAGATTTGGTTTGCATACCCTACATAAAATGGTAACAATTGTCCTGTTATAATATAATAATTTTTACTCATTAACAAAGTATGCCATTTTTTCACATCATGAAAGATTAGAGAATCGGGGCAAGAGGGTGCGGTCCCACGCATACCATAAGAGGGTGAGCCTAAGTGCATCATAGTGAGGTTCTATCCCAAAACCAATTGGTGATGAGAGGAGTAGCCCACTTGGCTTATATACTAGGCTCATTTTCCCTATAGAATCAATGTGGGACAACTCACAAGTGATACTCCAACACGCCCCCTCACTTGTGAGTCCTTCATAAGCCCAAGCCCACAGTAGGCCGGGTAGAGATAGAAACCCAAGCAGGAATCGGCCTGGCTCTGATACCATGTAAGATTAGAGAATCGGGGCAAGAGGGTGCGGTCCCACGCATATTAAGTGCATCATAAGAAGGTGAGCCTAGGTGCATCATAGAGAGTTCCATCCCAAAACCAATTGGTGATGAGAGGAGTAGCCCACTTATCTTATATACTAGGTTCATTTTCTCTATAGAATCAATGTGGGACAACTCACAAGTGATATTCCAATCACAATATGTCGATTATCGATTACTATATGCTACTTTTGAACATTAGTGTCAATACTGTAACGTCTCGATAAGAGAATTTTTATTTTAATTTGATTTCTTTCTTTGACTTTTTTTAGTATTAGTAAAAGATGACCTCAATAAATAGGATTTTCAGCGTAGGTCATACTGCAAAATGTATAACGGTAAAGGTAATTATAGGATAAATTGAAAAAATAAAAAATGTGTTGGAGTTTATATAATTATCCAATCTTCTTCTAAGTCAAACAAAGCTTTGTGGTGCGAATAAGAGAAATTTAATTATTTATTTAGCGTAAAATGTCAAAAATAAGATGATTATCATATCGAACTGTTAGCTTAATTCATAATTATTGTTTTTTTAGGAGAAAAGTAGAAATAAATAAAAAAGTGATACAAATCAAGTGTAGTACCACTCAATTAACGTTTAGGCCTCATTTACTTTGGTTGATAGGATTAAAGAAAATAATCAGAACAACTTTACACGTAAGCATTTAGTTCAGTGTTTACATTATGGAATGGGATTGTCTAAAAAAGTGGGGCTCGCAAGTATGTAAAGAAAAGGTTGGAGTAAAAAAATCCTGGGTGGGGGTAGGATTATTTAATCGGCCAATATTTGATAAGCGGTGGGACCCGCAGTCCACATGTGTGCCAAGTGAAATCAATCTCATCCTTATCCAAGAAAGTAAACACTGTGCAAGGGGTGACAGTTTTCATTATCCAGTCCCATCCCGCAAAGTAAACAAGGTAGAGGATAAAATTGAGCTTTGCTTAAAATCCAAAATATAGATCTAGCCCCATTATTGTTTGTTAATTCTTTTCCAATTCTCTTAATTTACACATGTTCCCCATATTCACAATAACCCAGATTAGCATTGGATGATATTCATAAAACATAGTTCATTTGATTAAAAAAGAATAAAAAAAAAAGATCATAGCATGTGAGAGCACTCCAAACTATTGCATTTCATAAAATCACAAAAAAATATTAAGAAAAGACCACAAACATAAATAAACTATATTTCATTAAACAAAATATTGTATTATGAGAATACAAAGCAATTACAAGTATAAATCTGAAAAATACAGGCATGTCAAAAACTTGTTTACCTATGGAGACAACTGTTGGCTCTATAGTAAAATCGTATAAAGTATAATACATATTCTTCACTATAGAGTCAACTGTTGGCTTCATAGGAAAACCGTATAAAGTACAATACATATTACATATGCTTCTTTTTTTCTTTCCTTTTTTATCCTTTTTTGATTCCCACATAAAAATACTTCTTTAATTTTATTTTTTTATATTTTTTTTTTTCACTCCTCACTTTAAGTCCACCCTATATAGGCTATACATACATATAATATATGCTACAACATTAATTAATGAACAATCATATAAATATATGTGACATTAATTAGCACAAAGACTACACAATTTTTTCCAATAAAAGTGGCCAATTAGAAATGGAGGAATTAATGTGTTGATTTTCTTCTGCCTTCTTCCAAGAGATTTCAATGTCATTAGCAACGTTGTTGGCATCAAATGATGTCCCAAGAAGGCCGCGTTTGGTGAACCCCACAGCATAAAGCCCATTTTCACCTTTCCACCCATTTGGAAATGGCCTTTTTGGGAGCCCATCTTTTTCTGAGAACATCTTGCTTTCCTGTGTTGAAGGAAGTAAAAAAAAATATTAAAAAAAAAAATCAAATATAAAATAATGTAAATGTATGTGCACACATCCAAACATGGCCTTCTTTTTACCAATCCTTTTGCCAATCAACCATTTTATTAGACCAAAAAAAAGAAAAAAGAAAATACTTATTTATGTTTTGTTACATAAATGCTGCTAGAGTTAGTATGCGCAATCATAGTTTCGGGAAATGCTATACAATTCTGTTACGGAACTATTCCGTCGTGATTTGTAACTGTAGATCATCATATAACTGTCGTGGATAGTTGATCTAACGGTTACAAACACTTACGGAATGGTTTCCTAACGGGACCGTAGAATGTCCCCATAGTTTCTTACAAAATATAAATATTTATATTATGAAATGTCATATTATAAAAATAAATAAAGAGGCCAAAAGAGAAAAATGGCAAAAAAGAGGGGGAGAAAAGAAAAGAAAAAAAAAAAGTATACCTTTAGCCAAGATGGCACATTGCTTTTGTAACCAGTTGCCAGTATAATTGCATCGAAGTTTTCTATGGTTCCATCTACGAACTCCACTGATTTATGTCGTAGTTTCCTTATGGCGGGCCGTATCTGTGTCATCAACATGCAATTTAACCATTATTACGTTATATAACAAATGCTGCGATCCCGTTAGATTATCATGTAACCGTCAGGGATAGTTGACCTAACGGTTACAAATCCCGACGGATTGATTCTGTAACGGTACCGTAGAATCTCCTTTATAATATAGTATATAATATTGTGAAATTTTGTGAAAAAAGTTGCACTTTTCTTTCATTTTTTTAACTAATTATTGCTATCAAAATTTGTTATGATTAAGTAATGATCATTTAGGTAACACACAATATTCTTGCATGAGCTAACACATGTAAGTCGAATTGCCATATTTTTTCAACAAGAATATATATTTATGTTATGAAATCGTCACATTTTTTATTATATATATGTTTTTTGAAGTATGATATTTTAACTTAATATGATGCATAGATGTTGATGAAAATATGACTGACCAGCTGTTTGACATACATATTATATAGACTGAAATTGAAATGAAAAAAAAAAACTAAAATTAAATTAAAAAAATCACAGACAAACATACCAAGAAAAAGAGAATTAATTAAAGGGACCGTTTTTTATTCTTGTGTGACTGTCTTGACAAAAATAGGCCATTTTTGTCACACTGTAAAACGACACAAGCATAAGATTAGTTGTACCTTAATGTCTCCACATTTGATCTTATCTAGGGTTCCCACGTCCAACACCGGAGTTCTGCCCGTTAAGCCCTTAATCTCGAGCGGGCCCATATTGGGCCGGTTCAGCCCGAATCGGCCCGTGTCACCTAGCACGAAGCGCGAGACGGCCAGCAAGAAACGATCGACGAGGCGTACCGGGAACCACTTGATCAGCCACATGGACAGCGCGAAAGTCGAGCTCCCCAGCATTTCCCTCGGCAGAATGTGAACCTGAATTAAAAATATTGTCCAACAAAAATTAGAAAAAATGAGTTGGAAGCATGAAAAGAAATGTATCTAAATCATTGGGACTACAAAATGAATAATTAAGTAAATTAAATAGTAAAAGATTATAATTAATTATGAGCTCAAGTGTATTGATGGCTTGAGAAAAAAAAAAAAAAAAAAAA